TAATAATAATAATAATAATAATGCCTATTTTTAGATTTAATTTAAATGAACTACTTACATTAATTTTAGAGAGGGTAAATGGCTCAATACACAGAATTATAAATAATAACACTTATAATAATGAACCACTTGATCATTTAACCGCCAAACGTTATTCCATTAAGCCCCTACCTTAATAAGTGATTTTTATTCAGAAAATAACCTTGTTAATAGAACAATGTCTGAACACCTGTCCTGGGAATAAAAGGCTCACTTCTCTGTTCCAGCAATACACTACATTTGGTGTCTCTAGCCAAAACTGAAGAGATTCCACCTCTGATTGAGAACCGAGAAACCTGGACTTCTTGCAAGCCTTTCATTGCTGGTCTAAATTTCTGCACCAAATTATTGTACTCTAATGCCAGTGCCACAGAGGCAGCTCCATATTATCCCTTGACTGGAGAATCCAGGTAAATCACATCAGCTTTAACTATGTTTATTTTGTGTTTACGAACCTTCCCTCTTAGGGCTTAGTATCTACAGTACCCTCTCACATAAAGCTTACCTTTAAAAATCTTCAAAAACAGACTAGCAGAGCAACACAGAAAAAGAGCTATTGAGAACTGTATGATTTCTTCCATTTGTGGTCATGGACAAAATAGTCAATCACAAGACATTTGTTTACTCCTTTAGATTGGAAGTTGAAATAGTGTCCACAGGCGAAGTGAAGGAATACTCTGCAAGTGCAAACTATAACCTGCAGAGAGAGGGAAATGACCTGATAGACACCTTAAAGTTTGCTGTCCAGACAGAAGGTAAGGGACTGAAAAAGCAATACCGTTTAGCTCAGTTTTGAACTGTGTCATTTAATGGGAAAATTGTTTGTATGAAAAAATCATAATAGAATTCTTTACAGTATAAAATAGAATACCATTTTCACACCCAAACAGGCCAATGCTTTAACTCACATCTCATTTCATGTGTGCAATTCCAGTGCAAGATTTTAATGATCAGAGGCTGATTTTGTATCCCAAAAATGCTTCTCCATGATTTAAATAAAAGTGTGATGTTAGTGAATGGAAGCAAGGAAGAGAAGTTAATGGGTTCTCTATAAACAAGAAAAAAATACAATTTCTGATGAAATATGGAAGTAAAGCATACAAATTGAGAAGAACTGTATAAACAGCAAATTTTTCAAAAGGAGAGTCTGAGGGATGGCAAGTTTACATAACAAGAGTAGTGACGGGATTAGTGGATCAGCCCATGGTGCGTTTAGAAGATGAGGAGAAAAAAGATGACCTAGTTTCTGATTCAGGTTCATCAAAGGTTGCATTAGATCTTCCGGGTGATATAATTTCCAGCTGATCCTTTTTTATTGTCCTTTTAAGAAAAGTCCAAACAGATTCTATAGTTGCAAATAACCAAAGTACATTATATTTTCCAGGTGTAAAGCAGCATGAGGCTACATTGACCTTCAGGTACAACAGAGACAGAAAGATTTTGACCAGTGATGTCCACATTCCAGATGTTGATGTTGACTTTGGTACAAACTTCAGAATTACTGATGAATCCATTCCTGGGAAGAAAGCATATACCTTTGTCTTAGACTTTAACAACAAGAAGATTTCTGAAGTTACTCTTACTGGCCAGATAAGGTACCTCAGAAAACCACTTAGACTTTTACAGATACGTTTGAATAAGATAGCTGAAGGTTTTATTGAAGTTAGAAAATTTTGGGAAATTTTATCCCATTTTGGAGAAATTGCTTACATAGACATACAAACTCGTCATTCAAACCCTCTTTAAAAACTCTTGAGGTATTTTGTTTGTAATCCATCATGTATACATCAAATAAATGCATGTAATACACCAACTGATCTTTCCTACTATATATATATATATGTATATAAAATTTGTGTTACAAGTTCCTTGAGCTAGTTCTTCCATGTTTGCATACACATGACTACAAGAATGACATTGTACTAGTGTTATTGCAGGTGTGATAATCCAAGGATATAAACAAGGCAAGGTTTGTTCAGAGACATATTATCTTTTACTGGATATGTTCAGCTCTAAAAGAAGTTATTACATCTCCCCATGAAGAAATCTAATGACACTCAATAAGCAACAAAACCAAAAATAACTGAGAGCTTCCTGTAAAAATTCCCACGCTTCACGATGAGAATATTTCCGGGAACATCTACAGGGGAGCTAACAATAATGTTCAGCCTGCCAGGGTTTCTAAAATTGTCTGCCTCACAAGCCCATAGTGAAATGAGCTGATCACATTCTTTAATAAACCTCAATCTTCCATGGAATTCTGTGATCTTGATGGTGCCCCAGGGAGTCTTTGTCTTTGCTGTTCATGCAGAATTGCCTCCGATATCAGTGGGAGCTTTGGACAGATGTCAGGGACCTCAATTCCCTTTCATTTGCACTAACATAATATTAGAAGTTTGCTCAAGTCAACAAAGTTACAGAGATATAAAATAAATGTGAATAAAGGAAAATTAAGCCCCATGGCATAATATATTTTATCAAGTGTTTTGTTTCTATGTGATTCATGGCCACAGTCTGTATCCTTGGTAGAGAATTCAGCTTGAATAAGGAGTTCAGAATTTGGTTCAGGTACAACTTTACCAAGACAGGTACATATTTCCATCCATTTCAGTATTATGAAATTAATATGGTATTATTATTGTGTGTATCTGCACAGTAGCATTATAACAATTTACCATAGATTTCCCAAAGTAACTAGCAAAAGCTGAAAACATTCATTGAATTGGAACAAAATTCACAATTTTGATTCAATCTATTTTTTTATAACCCCTATTATACTTTTACTATAGATTTAAATGCTGAAATTGCTCCTGAAACGTAGGTGAAAAAGTAGAGTGAAATGTTTTATATTAACATTTACATTTTGCTTTCACAGATATGCTGGAATGGAAGAGGCAATGTTAGGAGGCACCATTTCTATTCCTCGCCTGCAAACCGAACTTAGAACTGAAGCATTGGTTAATTATTCACCAACCAAAGGATTTCTTCAGATGAGCTCAGGTGTAACAACTCATGGAAACTCAATTTCAGAAAGAGTTCTTCTCAGATATGGTAGGGGTAAAAACATGATCCATGTGTACAACCTATACATTTAAATATCTTTTTACATTAGCTTATAGTATATCCCTAAATAGAGTAAGAATATTACTAATTTTAGCCTCTTCTTTTAAATTCATGATTTTCAGATTCTGAGAAAGTTGAGCTGGAGTGGAATTCAGGTGCCAGTGCTGCTGTGAAAAAAATGTCTTCTGGCTTCCCAGTTGACTTTTCAGACTACCCAAAAACTTTAGAGAATCATGCCAATGAACTGCTGGATCGGAAAGTGGCTCATACAGATATGACACTGCGACATATTGTGTCACAATTTATCGTGGTATGTTTCAACCTACAGTAGATATTACAGCCTGGTCACATAGCCCTGGTGACTTCTTGGCTCTACCATGGAAGCCAAAATGGGAACTACTTGTAAAAGTGCTCATCAGATTGAGTAAGATGTATATTTCCAACTTTGATTGAACCAGCCACTTTGTCAGATGCCTGGGGATCAGTATATGGATAGTTAAAATGTCTTTCAGATACCTTACTGGGAATTCCTAAAACTTGTTAATTTACTTTGAAAAACTTGTCTCCTCATTGCAGGCAACCAACACCTGGCTGCAAAAGGCATCAAAAGATGTCCCCTATGCCCAGACGCTGCAAGATAAGCTAAGTGGACTGCAGGAACTGAGCATTCAGAAGATTAGCCTGCCTGTTATCACCATTCCTGAAGAACTTTTCCTGAAAAGGTAGGGAGAGAAATTAGGATGGTCACACAGGAACATGTAAATAGATATTTGTTCACATTTTGGTGTTATTTTATTTTACTTTGTATAATAAAACAGTGTGGAATTGCTGTAAACGTTATAAAATTGGAATCATAACAAAGAATTTTAAGACCAGAGAGATGAAATTATATGGAGGAAATGATGCATGTCTTTAATACAGACTTGACTTCACAGCAGTCACTCCTGCAGTGTATCAATATACCCTGAAGTATTGTGTTATATAGTCATGAGAAATGAACAAAAATACAGCTTTCAACAATCTTTAGTCTAAGCCACAGAACTAAGAAGCCAGGTTTCCCATAGACTTGTGTCCTGCATCCCTACAGACCCATTGTCTTTGGTCATAATCCTAATATCTCTACTTTTTCCTGTGCAGTCCTATTGGACAGTTCTTCCTATTCCCCTACACACACTGGTTGACCTCCACCAATATAGTACCCTGACCTCTTCCCATGTCTGACTCCATCTGTCACTTGCTCAGAGGCAACACGTGCCATGGTTGTACACATGTGGACTGGATGCTTGCACGAGTTGGGGCCCATCTCCTCCACCTAATAGAGAGTTTCACAGAATTTGCATGAATGTAATTACCCTTAAGGCTTTTATCCTTCTGTCCAGTTTGATAGAAATCATCCAACATGTTAAAAATTTCTAAACAGTAGGCTTTGACAAACAAAAGGGGAGACTGGAAGGCAGATAAATAGTATATTTCTTCTGTTTCTAGGAAATCAGACTGTAAGTCAGCCAGAGTGGATCTAGACTTTAAAATGCTCATGCACCTGCCAGGATTTGCTCTCATTACAGTTCCTAGCACATATTGTTCTTGCCATTTAACGTTCATATCACATTGCTGCTCTGCCTATGTGTAAGAATTCAAGGAACAGTGTTGCTTGGTAGTACCTTCAGAATACAGCTACAGCTACCACTGTGATCAATAGAAACATGTCTATATAGTTTTCTCATGAGCTAGGGAAATATTGATGGCTGAAAGGAATGTAAAGGACAACAGAAGCTAGTGTAAGATTGGATTACAAAAACAGGTGGAGAACAGTCTTGTATTTTATCTCTCTCAGCACTGTTTTTCCATGTACTATCTTTCACTGTGGTAATATGAAACTGTATGTTAATGACACACATCTCTATTGCTTCCACTGTGTTCCTAAGTTCCCAGAAAATTGGGTTTTTTCCTATGTTCTTATTAGGAGTGCATATTAGAATAGTAATAATAGGAATTTCTACTGCTCTGTGATGTTGCTTTTTTAGCCATTTGATGTAAAGGAACAAATTTCAGAAATGTTTCCTTAATTTTCATCTTAGGATGTAACTTTAAGTGTAAAAAAAGATGATTTTGTAATATAAAAGACGAGCTAGGGAAACAAGAAAAGCATCTTTGCCAGCTTATTGTTCATACAGAAATTAAGGCTGAGTTTCCTCCTGTTTTGCCTTTTCGTAATGACACTTTGATGACAATCCATTTTTTTCTAGTCCTAGCTCCTGGTCAAATTCCTTCATTTTGAGGATCATTTTCATGCCAATACATCTTTTCATTCATGTTCATAAAGCAGATTTGGATTCTGAGAGTAGAAAATCAAATTCAAGATTCATAACAATTGTGTATTTAGCCCCTTGAATAACATTCTCCACCTCTGAGCTAAAGTTACTTAAGCTCTGAACAAAGAATCAGGAACCTTTGAATTCTAATGCAAACTCTTACAGAAAGAATGTGTTTCTGGACTACTTGACCTATGAGTCTCCCTGATTATGAAATAAGGGGAAAAAACATTGACAGAATTCACTGATATCAGAAGTGCTTTCAGTAAGTTCTGATAGATGAGTGCTTAAAAAATGCTGATAATAACAGATGATCATTACATTTCTCTCTAAACCTAAAGTCAGGACATTGATATAAGCATGTAAGCAAGCTCAGTATCATGGAAACAGTAGGAATCATGTAAATTTCTGTATGTGCTTCATGGACTTACAGTTTCTAACAGAGTCATTTTTATTTTCTAGTGAAGGCCGGATCAGATACAGCTTAAATAAAAACAGTTTTCTAATTAATATCCCGTTGCCATTTGGTGGAAGATCATCCCATGACATAAGGGTGCCACAGACTGTTAAAACACCTCCTCTGGTAATGGAGTCAATGGGAATAAGTGTGCCATCTCAGGAATACAGAATCCCGACATTTACTGTTCCAGTATCCTATCCTCTTCGTGTGCCTTTACTTGGTGCTTTAGAGGTCTCTGCTAATGTGTACAGCAACTATTACAACTGGACAGCAGCATACACTTTGGCTAATAGCACCACAGAGAAAGCATCCAGCGTAAGAACTACTTACACCACAAAAGCTGATTCGGTTTTTGATCTACTTTCCTACAGTGTGAAAGGTAAGAATGTGTGCTAATACTGCAATGTTGGCAAAACTATTTTAATGACTTTATTTTCCATGTATCAGGTACAGCACATTCATTGTCCTGTTGCTTATTTAAAGAAAGGTGTTGTATAATCTCAAATCACTTTCTCTTTGTTTTTAAAGATACTATGTGAGTCTGTTTATTCAGGCACTAAAGATGAAGTCAGTTTAATTCAATAAAGACTTTCAAGGTCCATATTTTCCTAAATATTCCCTACTGAAGAAAAAGTCTTTCAAAACTGAAGGCATGATTCTACAAACACTTATGTATCTGACAAGTTAAGTGTTTTCAAAATCAGGTGTGCAGGTTTATGTGTAGGTATGCCCACAGTTTATTTCTTGCTCTCATTTTATATTTTTGTATA